GCCCTTGTCCACCGCTTCAAAATCAAACTGCTAGGAATGTGCTGGAACTTCAGATTGCATGTTGTAGACCACAACATATCATATCCCTTAATTTGATGCTTACAGATCATACCACTTGACTCCCACTTACGGCAAGAACACTTGATTTCACCGTTTTCAAAATCAACCTTCAACACCCTACTATCCAACCTTGTACGGTCATCCTCCAATATGAAGACATCAAACAGTCCTACATGTCCTTCTGGTTCTATCTCCGTATTGGAAAAAATATTATACGCAAGGGATTCCTTGTACTGATCCAGGAAAAACTTGAATATCTTCGGCGTATACACATTAGCAACTTGCTTCACAATAGGGCTAGTAGAAAACCGAGAATCAGCCAACCTAGATAAGGCATAGTACTCTTCTTGTTCTTCAGCATCCCTCTTATTATCAAGCATCCTCTCAAAGTGCACAAAGAACCTACTAACGCTAAACTCTGACTGCAAGTAATGTCGAATATTACTATTGCAGCACTCACTTAGCTGGGTACTCTTCATTCCCGCACCAAAATGACAATTCACCCAGGCTGAAGACCACTTCGTCCTGACTTTGTAAATGCCCTGTAACCAACTGTGTCCCAAAGGTCCCTTCCCAGGAAAACACTTCTCAATCATCTTCTTCCAATTATACTCAAAATCATCCTCATCATCAGCATTATACATCAAATAACTAAGCTCACGAAGGAAGTCAGAGTCACACAAACTACCCAGATTAACAACTGCATTCTGAGCAATATGCCATGTACACAACCCATGAAAACAATCTGGGAAAACAGACCTTATACCAGCAGCAATTGCAGCAGCCTGGTCAGTAAACATTGATAACGGTCTCACACCTCCCATGCATTTCAAAAACTGATCGAAAAGCCATTCAAATGTTGCCGTTGTTTCATCATATAGAAGAGCAGCCGCAAAGACAGTCAGTTGGTGATGATTGTTGAAACCAATAAACAAAGCTACATAAACATAACAAAATGTGAGTAAAAACAATTCTACCAACACATACCATGTGGTAAAAGGTACGAATAACAATAATACCAACCCATACCATATGGTAAAAACTCATACCATGTGGTAAAGACTTCTGAGAACAAAAAAAAAACAATCCACACCAGACTACCATATAGTACACACTTCTAACAACGCAAAAAACACCACAAATAACCTTGTTACCAACCCATACCATATGGTAAAAGACTTTTAAGCACAAAAACCACCTCAAATAACCTTGTTACCAACACATACCATATGGTAAAATACTTTTAAGAACAAAAACCACCTCAAAAAACCTTGTTACCAACACATACCATATGGTAAACTACATTTAAGAACAAAAAAAAAAACATGATACAGAATGATAATAATAATACTCATACAAACTAACAAACACAATAATAAACAACAAACTAGAAAACATACCTAGTGGCCGATACTCTTTGTTAGTCCGGTAAGTAGTATCAAAACTAATTGAATCACCAAAATAATGATAATCCATCCTCATCTTCCCATCTGCCCAAAAAATACTAGCAATGTTCTCTTCAACATCAACCTCCACCTCATGAAAGAACCCAGGATCCAGCTGTGCTTGACGTCTAAAGTATTCAAGCAATGCAGTCGCATCACCATACTCCATTGATGACGTCCTAACCGTTCGCAGATGGTTCTTCAAATCATTCTTTGTGAACCCAACAAACTTCCGACCACCACCAGCCCTACTAATTGCATTATACGAAGAAGTCACACCAATACCAGCAGCATCATTCACCTCTGCCAACATCTTATACACAGGAGCCATTCGTCTGCTGGATCTCACATAGTGACGCAGAGACTCAGGAATCATGTCATGGTTGTGCACATTATACCAACGATAGATCTTGTAGCATTTAAACTCTTTAAACCACCTCAGTCGTATATAAGCACCATTACATCCACCCCTGAGTTCTGGAACATTACGAACACGAACCGTCGTATCAACAACACCTGCATTATCAGGGTTATTCTCGCTACCTCTTTTCCAACCTTCCTTATTGCAACAATACTTGATATAATATACAGCTGAAGAACCACCATTGAGCTTCGGACACGCTGATTGGTTATAAATCCTCACACCAAAACCTTCATGATTCCCATAATCAACATAAAAATTATATGCATCATCTGGTGTATTGAACTCTAAGTCCTTCCAAGAATCACGAACAGTAGGATCTATACCATTGAAACCTACAAACATTATGAAACAACATATTAAATGGATTCCACACCACAACAGTATGAAATCTCAATGTATACCAATAATTACAGCCATGATACAAGAGTTACCACCATGGTATGGCATGGTAAAATCAATTATCACACAGAACCCTCACATTTAACTTCCTAATTACCACATTTTACCACATGGTAATGTACTGTAAAATCAATTACCACATGATAAGGCATGGTAAAATCAAATTACCACCCTATACCATATGGTATGGCATGGTAAAATCAAACTACCACACTATACCACATGGTATGGCATGGTAAAATCAAATTACCACACTATACCATATGGTATGGCATGGTAAAATCAATTATCACACAGAATCCTCAAGTTTAACTTCCTAATTACCACATTTTACCACATGGTAATGTACTGTAAAATCAATTACCACATGATAAGGCATGGTAAAATCAAATTACCACACTATACCATATGGTATGGCATGGTAAAATCAATTATCACACAGAATCCTCAAGTTTAACTTCCTAATTACCACATTTTACCACATGGTAATGTACTGTAAAATCAATTACCACATGATAAGGCATGGTAAAATCAAATTACCACCCTATACCATATGGTATGGCATGGTAAAATCAATTATCACACAGAAACATCACATTTAACTTCCTAATTACCACATTTTACCACATGGTAATGTACTATAAAATCAATTACCACGTGATAAGGCATGGTAAAATCATATTACGACACTATACAAACTTCAATAAACAAACAAATTTGCATATCTTACCTCCTGATTCACCAGAGTTAGCTGAATGATCAAATCCAAGATCAATAGATGAAGAAGCAGTTCCAACAGCACTAGATGAAGAACCAGATCCTACAACGCTGGTTGAAGAACCAGATCTATCAATTGGAACAACATCGCCACAATTTACGTTACTCATCTCACCAGAATACTGCCAAAACACCAAAACACAAAGAACATAACACATGAACAAGCTCGAATTAGCTAAACATAAACAAGCTCGACTAGCAGCAATTAAAAACCTCCAACGAAACCAGAGATCAACAGAAAACTCGATTAGTTAAACAGAAAGAATAAAAAAAAACTAATATCTAACCTCGTCGTCGATCAATTATGGAGAATCAGAAAAGATTCGCCGTCCCCTGTTTCGCAGCGGCTGCTCGCAATTTCTCTCTACAAAAACCGAATCCAACTCGCGCACACGTCGATCAATTATGGAGAATCAGAAAGCTCGATTCGAAGCTGCTGCTCGCAGTTTCTATCGCCGTCGATCAACCATGGAGAATCGCCGTCCTTGTTTCTCAGCTGCTGCTCCCCCTGCTCGTAGTTTCTCTCTCCAAAATCCGAATCCAACTCACGCACAGAAAGATTTGCAACGGACAAAGAGGGAAAGTCATTTAATTCAAATATAAAATATCGTACAAAAATGCCCCTGACCGTGGACAAAAAACACCGCATCAATCACAGCCACAAGATCCGTCCGGCCAAGATCGACGGTCCCTATGTGGTTACTCACGGGTGAGTAACAAAGGGTTACTCACCCTATCCTAAGCCCCGCGAGGGGAGAGGTATTTATATGTTTTGTGGTCGCGACGAAGTCAGGATGAATTAATGTATTTTCATGGAAACTAATAGATTTCCGAATTACCGTTGCGATAAAAGGAAAATAAATCCGCCATTATTCCTTTTTCCTTTTTCAATCTGATTCCTTTTCTTATTTTATCGCAAAACGTTTTAACATCTACAAATATATTATAGTGGAGTTAGAAGCAGTTATTCAGGATTTTAAAATTGCAGACCAGAGAGCAATTTTCGGAGACCCAATTTAGTAATTATACAACCTGAGTAATCGAGGCTTTTTGTGTGTTTCGTCTGGCCCAACAGCTTGCTTGCTGAAGATAAAGGGAGTGTAGGCCTGTATCTGGGCCCAAATTGCTACTAAATGATGAAACGCGGGCGACTTGACCCCATACCCTAAAATCATCACATACACCACAAATAAAATAAAAACAATAAAGAACAATAAAGAACAATTGTTCATCTTCCAAATCACAAAACAGAACACTAATCGACGATAACCTCCACTCGACCTAGCGACGACCTGCTCGCCGGCTTGCATCCCCAGTCACTCACACCGGCGGTGCAGCTCCTCCTTGGCGTTCTCCCGTCACTCTCCGAATCCGTTCTCTAGCGGCCAGCGCCGACAGCCAATTGGAACTAGGGGACGAACCTGCTCGCCGGCATCTCATCACCAGTCACTCACACCGGTAGTGTTTCTTTAAGTTTTTTTTATCAAGGGCATAACATGTTATATCCATGCACAAAAATATTTATGCTTAATTATTATAAAGCATACATGTTGATTTTAGTTGTTCGTTTGTCATCCAAGAATAAGGTGTTCACTATTAGCGGCAACGTTTGTGAAGTCATGCACAACTGGTGCTATGATGGTTGTGCGAAATGCTCCTCCAAATTGCGTGCTGGAGTGGATCATTTCTACTGTGACAAGTGTAATGCACGCTCAATTCAATCAATTAAAAGGTTTGTGTATGTTGTATGCTTCTTATGAATTCCTTACTACTTCATTTTATTGGTCATATTGAGAAAAATCTATTTAGTCAACGGTATAACATATTTACGATTATAATATCATCTACTTATCCATTGCAGGTTTCGGTTTGAGCTGTCTGTGATAGACTCATCTGCTGAAGCACTTTTTGTTGTGCTGGATCATGCAGCCGGTAATTTTTTTGATAAGACGGCTGAAGAACTTTACACATCGAACGATCAACAACCTACTGGGGTTCCATCTTTTATTCAGAACTTTCAAGGGCTAGATGTCACATTACAAGTCAAACTCAATTCATACACTTTCAAAAATCCAGGACATGGATTTAGTGTCGTGAAGATTGTTGAGCCTGAAGGGGTACATCAGCTACGCACTATAACGCCTAAACCTGGTCAGGTATGTGCTTCCATTTATAAGCTTTCTTGCTTTGCATGAAACGATGGGAATGGATGTAGTAGTGATGCTTAATTTCCAGCTAATGGAATGCCATTTGCATCCTGAACTCTGAACTATTTTGATGATTGAAGAAGCAAGCCTATGAATAATGATGATTCATTTTCATGCGGTTGTCTCTATTTGGGCTATGAGTGAAAGTCCCATTTTTTCTCAACTAAAGTTACAACATGTGTTTTACCTTATGCTACTCATGTTGCTAAGTGGTGGTTTGGCCTGTTGCATCAGTATAGAACATGATTACCTATGAACGTTGGACTCCCCAATTTGCTTGCTATGCATAATCATGCTTTTTTGGTATTGTTGTTACCTAAATATGAACTGAACCTTAACCTCAAAATGTGCCTCCACCTTCTGTCACAAATTTAATTAGCTGCATTTTGTCTCAGCACTCTAAGGAAGGAAATAAGTCTTCACCTTCACCCATCATTGTCGTGGGACAACAATCTACCGGAGAATCCATTCTGGATACCACAATTGTAGCTGGGCATGTACAGGAAGGAGATGGTAGCCTTGATGGTGGTGTTTGTATGCCTCTGAAGAGGAAGTTAAGTGAGGAGGAGTAGGTTGCATCAGTCATATGTATGGAATAGCTTATAGCTATTATTAATTTTCTTTATTTTAAGTTTTATGTTGTGGATGACCCATCTTTGCCACATAAATATTTGAACTTTGTTTTACTCAAACTATGTTGAGTCTATTTTGAATTTTCAGTGCTTTCTTCATGACAAATATATATTTGAAGTCTCATTATTGTCCATTCTATGCATATGCATTGACTTTCCTAGAATCTAAATCATCAACATGAATTCCTTTAAGATTGGCATGCTTTGTTTTCTATCCAAACTTGACATAAAGCTATTGAGAATGAGTTTTTTCTCACCATCTTTAAGTTAGAATCGTCGTAGAAATATTCTTTTTCATTTATTACATCGCATTTCTTAGGTCAACATAAAAATAAGGATCGTATTTTAATTTTCTCCAGCCAACGGGCCGGGCAACAAGCTAGTTGACTAGATTAGTGCCCGGCCTCTTGGCCGGAAGAGTTTGATTTTCATGTATACGTGTAGTAAACATTGAGGTATATTTTTTTTTATGGTTCATGTTGTTGAGGATTGAAGTAACAATTTAATTTGGTAAGTTCTCCATGAATAATATATGAAAGTATTTAATGTATGACAAACAACGTCCAACTACACTAACATAAATACATATTTTCAAACAAAGTCATGTCTATATAAAAAATGTCTAAGAAGAACAATGATAAGAATTGTTCTACATCATACATGCATAATCAATCTTTAGTATACGGTAAAAAAATTTGCATTTTCCATTTACTTTAGTGTATTCAATGATATAATGAAACAAAATATATGTTTAGAGTGTCCTTGAAAAGAAACAAACTAATTCACACAGTCATAGTTCGAGTGGCATTTCATATAGAAAGCTAAATCAAACCGAAAAGAATGCAAAAACTAAAAGCAGCATACCTAACATTTTGGGGGAAATCCACAATAATAAAAGTCATTGTATCTCTTACTGAAGTTTGAAAGACTTTGATTTAATGGTAAGTAAACAATGATATATAGTGCTTAAGAGGGAAGATGAGACCTTACATTGTTTATTAATATGCATCTTAGTTTGATAATTTTTACATCATTAAAAATTTATGTGTTGAATAGAAACCCATCCATGTTTGGAGCCATTGTAAATGGTAAGTTATGAGGCAAATGAGAAGTCTCAAGCATCTACATGCTTGAAAAAATAAATCTATATTATCAAAGATAAAATCATATCTTGCATAAGAAAAATAATACTATATTAAACCACGAAAATAGATATTATATCCACCTAAGGAATAATAAAGTAAGTCATGTTTCTTAGAGACCTCTCTCGATAGAACCACTATATTATAAAAATCCATTTCGTCAAACAATTGTATCATATAGAGTTTTAACTTAAATTGAAGTGCTGATAATTAGCTATTTCAGCTCATGAATGAATTAATTATATCATTTGGTAAAAGAAAATAATTTATAAACTTGAGAGTTATTTAGTTTGTTGTTAAATCATTTGAACTAAAGTATGAAAGTGCTTTAGAACTGTTATTTTATTCATTATTATTAAAAAAAATTATCTTTATTATATTGTCTAAGCATGTCTAGGCTAGCTAGGAGATAGACAAATGCCCAATGCCCGCGTTATGCCTAACGTGCTGTTGAACCTCAATAATTATAGCAAACTTTGAGAGCATCTTATAAATTTGATCACTTCTATTTTGGTAAAATTGATTACATCATGAAAGCGATCAATCAAAGAGTCTTTCTATACGATTTTGATAAGATGTCCCCCTACTGCACGATTAGTATGACTAAATCGTAATAAGATAATCATGTATTGAATTTTGAATCGATAGCGCAAAAGATTGTACTAACTCAAGTAGAGTTTTAGCTACTCAGTACTTCATATTCGCATGTAGATAGCTACTTCAAAGAGTTCGAATGTTGATTGAGTTTGTTGAACTTTACCTAACAAAACTATGATATCAATCGCAAGATATGATGTTTTTTTGGAGAAATTGGGAGAATATGTTGGTGACATCAAACCTAACATGGATATCGTAGGATTTAAGTGATAAGCAACATTTATGGTCAATAGATTAGACATGAAAAATATATTTAGCATTCCCATAAGTTGGTAGGAAGTAGTGAATAATTAGGAATTGAAAGCTAGAAACAAAGTTGATTTAATAAATAACTGCAAATGATAATGTGTAAAAGAAAACAAATGCTTAGAGCATAGCTAGGCATGAGAGTGTTACATTAAACACTCAAAGAGAAAGCAAGAAACCATTAATAGTTAGTTGTGGATATTAAAATAGTTAACTATGATGAATACTATATACTGGTGATTAATACTTGGAACTTAGCTTGAACATTGCATCATGCTGATAAAAATTATTTCATTAATTACATTATTGAAATAAGGGGTCGTATGGAAGTCTTGATTGTTTTTGTGAGATTGTTAAAATAAATACATTTTTCATAATATAATACATATGTTTTTATTTATTTCATACACAATCGTGAATTATTTGCTTAATTTAACTAAACTATCACTCAAATTGAATGATTAAACAATTTTGATTTTTAGCATAGAATGTCGAGATAATTGGTATCGGTGTTTGTCATGTTTATTTTTCTTGAAATGTATGGTACCATTGTTCTTATGTCTTCATTGAACACTTCATCAACACTTCAATTCAATGCGCAATATTCCAACCAATGATATTTGTGTTGAGATTTTAAAATTATCCTTCATTTATAAATTAGAAAAAATTCTAAATTAATTATTAAAATATGAAAATAGAAGTATCAAACAACACAAAATACTTATAGGAGACTTAGCGGGCTAACTAACCGTGATAGAAAAGTACTCTGTTTTTCATAATTTTTAACTTTCTTTATGTTTTGTATTAATAAATTATGACAATGTGTCTAGTCTAATTGGTTACAATTATTATCTTTGATGGAAGAGACCATGGTTCAAATCCTAGCATTGATTTTTTTTATTTTTATGAATCGATGGGTTTCATTTCATCAAAAAGAAAGTTGCTAACAACTACCCTGTTAACTAGGAGATGTAACAACCAAAGAAAAGAAGACTACAAACAAAATTTCTATACCTCTGAGACAAACAAACAAACAAACAATCAATCAAAATCACTCCCAAAATTGAGTAACTCTCTGTCTACCCAAGAAACACTCCACTTCAGACTTAATCATCCTCAGTATCACAGTTGAGGAGATCACCTGTCCAACATACATTCTTCTACATCTTTCCCGCCAGTCGCCAGACATTACTCACCCAGCTCTGCCATATGATCCTTCCCGCTTCTGCTTCTTCTGATACAACACTAAGCTTCAGAACAGCCCATCCTACCTCATCTTCCCAGTTCTGCATAAGAGGAATGTAAAGCTTCCTGCCAAACAGTAAGATATGGATCTGTCGAGAGACAGGACAATGCACAAAGAGATGGTCCCTATCTTTAACTCCATCCTCACACAAAACACACTTCAAGTCTCCTATGACACCTCATTTTTGCTTTTTCATCTTAGTGTTTACACTATCTCTCATTACCAACCATGTTAGAATCCGATTTCTTGGTATACCCCTGCCTTTCCACAGAATCTTCCACCAACTTACAGTACTTCTGATAGGTCTAAGGAGGTTCCAGACCCTCTTGATAGAGAAAATAGGCATAGGAGAGCCATCCAACAAGATTTCTTCCCCCCCCTGAAAGAGATGTAGGGACTTACTCTTTGCCTGAGTTTTAAAATCTTCCTCCAGTTCCATGAACCAGAAGAACAAGTGTAGGTCCAAAAGTTCCTGCCTTTGAGCTTGAATCTGTGAATCCAGGCTACCCAAATGGACCCTTCTTGTAAGAGAATCAACCAAATGTGTCTGGTCATACAAGCCTGGTTCCAGCTTGACAGATCCCTGAACCCCAGACCCCCTTCTTTTTTAGGGAAGGTAAGATGATGCCAAGCCACATTTGCCTTAGCCTTGACCCCTTCTTTCACACCCCAAACAAAATTACTACAAATTTTCTCCACTTCTTTAATAGCTGCTTTTGGTAGAAGGAAAACCGACATCCAGAATTGAGTCAGGCTATAGAGAACTGACCCTACCAGTTCAATACGACCTGCATAAGTAAGAGACTTGGCCTGCCAAGTTTTTACCCTAGCCACAATCTTATCAATCAAAGGTCTGCAGGTAGTTAAGCTCAGTTTACCAGAGATCAGAGGAACCCCTAGGTATCTGACAGGGAGAACCCCCAACTGATAACCAAATATGTCTGCTCTAATCTTCCTTTCATCCATATCCAGACCACCAAGGAAAATTTCACACTTGCTGGGATTAGATTTGAGGCCATAAATATTTTTAAACTCTGATAACACATTCTGCAGTTCTTGAATACCATAGTTGGAAGCATTTGAAAAAACCAGCAGGTCGTCAGCAAAGCACAGATGGGTGAGTGAGACACCTTTACACATAGGATGGTATGGAAAAAAAACCCTTCCTTGCAGATTGATCTATAAGGCAGGAGAAGATTTCCATTGCAATTGAGAATAGGTAGGGAGACAATGGGTAGGGAGACAATGGGTCTCCCTGTCTAAAACATTTCTTTGCTGGAAAGTAACTCACTAATCCCCCATTAAAACATACACTAAGCATAGGCGTTCCAACACACATCCGAATCCAGTTTACAAATCTTTCCGAGACTTTCATACATCTCAGCACTTGAAAAATAAACCCCCAGTCAACCGAATCAAACGCTTTCATCAGATCTATCTTAATAGCACAGCGGGGAGAAACATTTTGATGAGAGTAGCTACTAACTAGTTCATGAGCTAACAGGTTGTTCTCTCCTATTAACCTTCCCTTCACAAAGGCTGTTTGATTTTTACTGATAAGAAATGGAAGGAGAGGGCTAAGCCTTTTTGCATGAGCTTAGAAATACACTTGTAAAGGATATTGCAGCAGGAGATAGGTCTAAAGTTTTTCATCTCATCTGGGTTTGAAACCTTAGGGATTAAGGAAAGAATTGTTGCATTTATAGGTCTAGGTATCTTATCCTGTTCAAAACAGAACCTAATGGCAGGACATACCTCAGGGCCAATGAGAGGGCAGGCGTATTGAAATAAAGCATCTGAGAAGCCATCTGGGCCAGGGCTTTTATCACCATCCATAGCAAATATCACCTCTTTAATCTGCTCATTTGTAAAAGGATCACAAAGATCCTCAGTCTGCTCCTCAGAGAGTTTCCTCCTCAACAGAGCATCATAGTACTCATCAGGCTTGACAATAACTTCAGGGTCTTCAACCCCTAGTAACCGTTTATAAAATCTGACCGCAACCTGAGCCATCTCTTCAACATCTGTAATTTTCTCACCTTCTTCATTCTTCAGCACCCTTATAGTACTTCTACACTGTTTAGCTCTAACTACACGATGGAAGAAAGCCGAGTTCATGTCTCCTGTTTTAAGCCAACTCTCTCTAGATTTTTGTTTGTAGAAGATCTCTTCTGCTTCAAGTAGTGTTCTCAGTTCTATTCCCAGTTTGGTTTCAGTCTCAAACAGATCAGTAGATGGCGCATCGAGATCCTGTTGCTGAATTTCATTAACTTCCTTTTCCTTCATTTTAACTCTTTCAGACAGATCTGAATACTCTTCTCTATTCAACTTCCTTAGTAAGTTCTTTAGATTCTTAAGCTTCTGACTAACTCTGATCAATGGGTGACCAGACACATTGCTCCTCCAAGCCTCCTCTAAGAGTGAATCAAAATTTGGATGATGGATCCAAAACTTGAAAATTTTAAAAGGTTTGGGTATCGACTTCAATTCAGCTGCAGTATCAACATACATGGGGCAGTGATCAGATATACCTGGAGTCTGAAAATGAACCCGACTTTCCTTAATTGTATACATCCATGAGAAATTCACCAAAACCCTATCCAGACGCTTTGCAATAGGGTTTGCTACCTGCTTATTAAGCCAGGTGTACCAAGGCCCAGTGGCCTGATGTTCATCCAACTCCAGTTCAGTTATCCAGTCATTGAAGAAAGTCATAGGGGCATCAACTCTAGGTGAGTTTGAGGCCTCTGAAGGATGTCTTATGTCGTTGAAGTCTCGCATTACAATCCAGGGAGCAGCAGTAACTCTAATACTCTTTAAATTAGTATAAAGAGCTTTCCTCATGTTCTCATCATTTGCTGCATAAACCAGTGTCCCAAAAAAAGGTTGAGTTCCCCCCACCATAAATTGCACAAACTTATCAGAAGAATGTAAAACTGTAAGCGGAATATCCTTTTTCCAAATCAACCAAATCTTCCCCAAACCAGAGTCACTATGATTAATCTTTGTCTCCCAATCTGGAAAGCGTTTTTCAACTAGTTTATCTGTCTCATAGGCTCTTATTCTTGGTTCAAGAACAACTATTATGTTTATATTGTATTTGTTTATTTTCTTAAGCAAAGCTATATATTTACTATATGCCTTAAACCCTCTAGTATTCCAGGTAATAATTCTCATTTCCTTCCTCTTCCTCTACCACCCTTACCTCCTTTCCTCTATTGATAGGGGATCAACGAAGAGTCAATCCAAACCCTCTTTCCTTTATCTGGAGGCTTAATGTTCTCTTTGTCTTTGGACAGTCCCCTCTGAGCATGCTGGAGCTGCAAGTTCTCCGATGGCGACTTATCAGCCTCAGCAACTTGTTCAGTAGTAGAAGGACTCCCTCCCTTAGGAGATGATCCTCTAACTACCTGAGCAAAACTCAGGGGAGGGCTCCCAATTGATGAAGGAGCGTGAATATTAACCGCCTCAATGCTTAAAACAGCTCAGCAGCCACATTAGAGTTAGCAGCCAACCCATTATCTGTCAGCACCTGAACAGTCAGTTCTTCCACCAACCCTTCTTCCTTTTGCCCAACATTCTCACCAGCTTCAACAGTCCCCCCATTTTTAGGAGCAGCTTCTTCCACCAACCCTTCTTTCTTTTGCCCAACATCCTCACCAGCTTCAACAGTCCCCCCATTTTCAAGAGCAGCTTCACTAATCACAACCAGCCTAGCATTCATATCAGTTGAATTCACACTTCCTTCGATACCTCCTGATCCACCCTTTCCTTCTCTCGCCATTCTCTAACAGGCTCCTAAGGGCAACTATGACCAAACAAAGAGCATTTAGAACAAACTCGCGGCAGCTGTAGATACTTCACCCCAATCTCATAGTCAGAGTCATCATCTGGATACAGCCTAATCCTTCTTGGGAAATCAAAATCAGCTGCCAGCTCAATACAGACCTTCGAAAACCCCAACTGATCTCCAACCCTAGTTTTCTGATCAGTCCAAATCGGCCTCCCCATAGTACTAGCAACCCACTCAATTCCATCCTGTCCCAAATATTCCAAAGGTAAACCCGAGATCTTAACCCAGATAGGCAGGGTTTCAATCTTTGGCTCAATAGGCTGAATACCCACTTCCCATTTACGAAAGAAAACTGGATTCCCACCCAGATGCCAAGGCCCCGAAGGGAAGACCCAATCACAGGAAGAACTCGATGGGAATTGAAATACCAACATCTTAGGACCAAATCGCAAAACACGTACCAATCCATCCTCCCCCAAAGCCGGTTAGCCCACGACTGCAGCTCCGCAACCTTTGGACGCTTCCCGACAAATTGCCCAATCAAAGACAGCTTCCATCGCTCAGCGCACTTCTCCTTCACAGCCCGTGGAATTCGAAAACCATCCTTAACCCTCTCAGGTGAGCGATATGTAAGTCTCTTCTCTGGAGCTACCGAAAATAGGTTTGCCCAGGACGACGGAGACGAAGAACCCTCGCCAGCCGGCGAAGAAGCCGACGGCGAGGAAGCCATCGCGGTGGTTTTCTGCAGAGCATGAAAATGAGAGAGAAAGAAGAGAGAGGGGATTTATACTTCTCGATATTTTTATATGAAATAAAAAATTGATTGTGTAGACAAAAATACCCTTCCTAATTTCACTCTCGTTGCAGGAAATTTGAAATGAAGCAAATCAAACTCTTTAAAATGTATTATAAGTAGTGTAGATTTGGTCTTGCCTGTGAAAAGAAAGCAAAGAGAGGAAGGAGAAGAGTGATGAATGCGAACTGAGTGATGAAAGCCATTGATGGAAGAATTGGTGCACGGTCTTTGCAATCTCCCTCCATTAGAAGCCATATAATTATCCAATTCAATCTTGATGCCTACATTTCAATCACAAAATTGTCGATGCTCTTTGCACCTTTCAATTTTAGGGCTCACAATAGAAGAAAATTGAGGAAAGCAGAAGAGTATCAGGTGGAGAGTTGATTGTTTGTTCGAAGTTCGAGAGTTTGTTTAGGAGGAACATGAGTATTTTGGGTGAGAAATATATGTATCATATTCGGTACTTCAATTGATTAAGGTTTGCTTCGTCTAAATGGCTTTTGCCATCATCACCATATACTTGTCCATTAATTGTTAACCAGCTTTCTGTTAGTGACTATACCAAAAGTCATTTCAACCGACCCATAACGACATTGCAAACTTATAATCGGTTGACGATATTACCATAAGCTATTGATTATCTGTTAGTTAATAGTGTTGACCACTAACTAGCATTGACCACTAACCGGATATCACTGTTAATTCAAGTAATTATCTTCTATGTTGTCTAAGCAAAAATGTTTTACGTTCAGTCAAAATTTCCCATTCCATAACTCCCATTTGATAGCAATTAGAGATGACAATCAAATCAGCAACCGTGGGTACTCGTCCATTGCCAATCTAGTCAACGTTGAGAATTCTCGCATTAATTGAGTACGGATAAATCCCATAAAATATTTGATGAAGATGAGGCGAGTATGATTTTAGTCTAACTCACCTCATACCCATACTTGCCTCACAAAGAGTGTTTCTTCTTAAAAAAAAGTTTTAAGGGATCAAATTGGAAACTCATAATGAGATGAAGGATAAAAAAAAAAGTTAGAAATATATTTGACTAATTAGTCAAACGTGCCCCTAATCCCCCCTCATTTCCTTTTCACTTCTTTCCTCCTTGTTAACGAAATTATGTTAGTTATTTATTACTTAGAGGTTGTTAAGTTTTGGTGATAGTTAAATCGATGCATTGTCATCAATGCATACATAATAATATACATGTATATAAGAAAATTGATGTATTTTCGCCCTTTTGAGATTTTTCTCTGAATGGAACCTCTGATTCCTTCGCCGACGGTCGAGCTGAACCCCTCGGACCGGCCGCCGGACTCATGTCAAACTTTGTCGAATGAAAGTGATGCGAGACTGTCCTCTGGGAACGTCGCCGTCACTGGCTCATCGGACGCGGCAGCTGCACCGAATGCGACGGGAATGATGGTAGATCCTTCCCCGGGGGAGGTGGACCCGCTCCAACAGACTCCGGTAAGGCCGCTGTCATATGCCAACGTGGTGACAGGATCGAACCCGGAAAAGATGCAGAGTAAGGTGTCTTGGACCCCGGTCGGAGAGCACGGCCTAATAATGGGGAGCTACAATGGGGAGCCGGAGTTAAAGATCTCTAGCGTTTTCAAAGAAAAGCTATGTAGTCAGTGGCAGCGCACGCTGGTGGTCCGAGTGGTGGGGCTGAATATCTCCTTTCTCACGTTCAGTAACAAGATCAAAAACCTCTGGCGACCTTCAGGAGCAATGGAGATTATGGCACTTGGGCAAGAATGCTTTCTGGTTAAGCTTAGCAACGACACCGATTACTTTCGAGCGCTGACAGAGGGCCCCTGGGTAATCTTCGATCACTATTTGATTGTCTTCCAGTGGACACCCGAATTCAGAATCTCTGATGCAACTCCAAGATCCATGGTGGTGTGGATACAATTGCCGGCCTTCCCGGTGCATTTTTATCACAAGGAGATCCTCTTCATGATAGGGAATATGATTGGCCGCTCAATCAAGCTGGACTTCCACATGCAACATCAACAGCGCGCGAAGTTTGCCCGGATGGCGGTGGAGCTTGGCCTTTCCAAGCCCTTAGTAACGCGACTTCGCTTAGATGGGAAATGGCAATACATAGAGTATGAGAATCTGCCTGCAGTTTGTTTTGAATGCGGAAAAATTGGACATACGAATTCGTCTTGCCCGTCCCTGGCGGCGAACACGCCAGCAGTCACCACCAGAACATTGACAATGGTACCGGAGGGCTGGTCGGAGACTTTGCCGGAGGACAAGGCCGGATTTGGTCCTTGGATGCAGGTTACGAGAAGGCCACGGCGCGGATCGCGGACCTCTGAGAAAGGAAACTCTGGAGCGATGCAGGGAGACTTGCCAAATTTGGGGAAAACTGGAAAAGGAAAGATTTCGAGCAGGAATATGGAAGTTTCTAACGGGCAGAAGGAGGCTCCAAGCCAACGGGAGGAGACGGTGCGGGGCGGGACACAAGAAAAAGGAAAGACAGCTTGGACAGGGAAACGTAATGGGAAGGAGGAAGTTAGTAGAGTGGGGATGGAAGTGACAACTGGAGGCAAAGGGGTCCTTGGGCCTATCCCTCTTTCCTCAGCTGCGGGCCCAACGCAAGGATCTAATAAGGCGAACGTTAATTCCCGGAACAAAGATATGGGCTCATCTTCCACCTTTAGTGGGCCTAAAGCTCGCTTAGGCCCTGCTAAGCATTTGCCCGGTAAAGGCCTAGCTCCCCCAAGCCCGCCTCCAATGCAGGAGTTCGCTGGCCCCAATGCCACGCTCATCCAGGTGGTGTCGGTTCCTTCCATTGACAGCCAAAAGGAAGCGGACCGCAAGGCAGAGACACCGTCGACGGCAGCTCGGACAAAGAAGCGAAACGAGGAGAAAAAGAAGAACTCGAAAACCCGCAAGTCGCCGAAGAAGATCTCCGCCAAGACACTCCAAGTCTGGACACCTGTCAAAGAAAATAAGACCAAATCTAGAGCTAGAATGGCAACTCTGACTCTACAAGAAATAGATGCGTGGACGGGTGCAGCGAAATTGGGTCAATCCGAGAAAGCCTTGGGGAATGATGCAGAGGAGCCGAGTCCTTTCGAGGCCTGTGCTTCGGCCATCCCAGAATCTGCTCCCTAGGCCCCCGCAGCGGACTCTTTTCTTTTCCCCTCCCCTTCTCTTTGCTTTTTACCCTTTAAATGTCTGCTGCTGTTTTGAGCAATTTTAAAATTCTTTCTTGGAATGTTGGAGGCGCTGGTAGCAGCGCCTTCGTCAGAGCTCTCAAGCTCATTGTGTTTAACCATAAACCTGACATTTTGATTCTTTTGGAACCGCAGATCAGCGGGGAGGTGGCGGACAGAGTTTGTGGTCGGATGGGTTTTCCCAACATTATGCGAGTTGACGCGGATGGCAGAAAAGGCGGCATCTGGATTTGCTGGGATGCTAGAGCCCTCTCGTTGGAGCTGATGTCAGCCTGCTTCCAACACTTAACCGTGAAAGTCACTGGCGCGAGGGCCCCTCCCTGGCTTCTGGCGGCAGTATATGCGAGCCCAAACCAGGGATTGCAACACTTCTTGTGGGAAGCCATTCAGCGCACCAGAGATGATGTTGACCTTCCTTGGCTTCTGACTGGGGACTTCAATGCCATTCGAAGCCCGTCGGAGCAAGCCGGGAATGCTTCTCCGTCTATCTTCCGCCGCTGCAAACGGTTCAATGACAGGATAGACCAAGCTGGGCTTATTGACATTGGGTTCTCTGGTCCGCGCTTCACTTGGACTAGGGGGAGCCGCCAAATGGGTATAAAGCCAGCCGCCTCGATAGGAGCTTATGCAACACTAGTTGGAACCTTCTCTGTCCCAACACTACCGTTCACCACCTCCCTAGACTTCATTCGGATCATCACCCAATTCTGACAGTGTTAGGAAATCAGGGAGTTCACCATACTACTTCTCGTCCTTTTCGTTTCGAAGGGGCTTGGTTATCGCATGACTCGTATGATGCCTTTCTTGACAGGGAATGGGACTCCCATGTTCCAATTCAGGAAGCCTTGCAGAAGATGGCCGGAAATTTAACTGAGTGGAACAAGTCCACTTTTGGCAATGTCTTTCAAAAGAAGAGGAGACTGCTTAGCCGAATCCATGGGATCCAAAAGAAGATTGCTAATGACTTCTCCCCAGGGCTTTTCAAACTCCAATCGAAGCTTGAGAAGGAGCTTGATGATGTGCTTGAACAAGAGGAATTGATCTAGTTCCAGAGGTCAAGGGAGCAGTGGGTGCGATTTGGAGAGCGGAACACTGCTTATTTTCACCAGCAAGCGATCATTCGAAGACGGAGGAACAGGATAGCGAGCCTGAAAAACGACAACGGAGAGTGGGTGTCTGACCCGCAGGAGTTGGCGGCCATGGTTTTTGACTTTTTTGCTCTTCTATACCTGCAGGATGATCAAGAGTACTCGGATGACATGCCTAAACAGGCTTTCCCGAGGTTGTCCCAGGATGATATCCGCCAGCTTCTCCTCCCCTTCACAGGAGCGGATATTTTTAAGGCGATCCAAGACATGAAGCCTTTTCAAGCCCCGGGCCCGGACGGGTTTCAAGCCATTTTCTACCAAAGATCGTGGCAGGTGGTTGGGAAAGCGCTTATTGACTTGGCTCTTAGTTTTTTCTCTACAGGAGTCCTTCCGGAGGAAGTGGTGGAGTCGACAGTGGTTCTCATCCCCAAGGTAGATCACTCGGAGATGGTTTCACAGCTGCGCCCGATATCCCTCAACAATGTGTGCCTGAAAGCCATTACCAAAGCCATCACCAACCGACTTAAGCCCATCATGAAGAAGCTAGTGTCTCCCAGACAAAGCAGCTTCATTCCTGGCCGTCAAACCACAGATAACATCATTGTTTTGCAGGAAGTTCTTCACACTTTGAGAAAGAGGAAGGGCAAGAAAGGAGGGATCGTGCTAAAAATTGACTTGGAGAAGGCGTATGACCGGCTCAGATGGGACTTCCTCCGGGACACTCTCAAGGAAATTGGCCTTCCTAGCTCGTGGATTAGCTGCATCATGTTTTGTGTTGAGCACAACAGGATGAGATTGCTATGGAACGGAGAGCTCTCTGGCCCGATCATTCCTACCAGAGGCGTTCGTCAGGGAGACCCTTTATCTCCTTACCTTTTTGTGTTATGCATGGAAAGATTGTCTCATAGAATTGATCAGGCTATAGAGGACAGGCTTTGGAAGCCATTGAGATTGTCCAAAGAAGGTCCTTCTATATCTCATCTGTTTTTTGCAGACGATCTTATTCTTTTTGCAGAAGCTGATGGCTCTCAAGTCAGGATCATTAAGCAATGCCTCGATGAGTTTTGCCAGAGCTCGGGACAAAGAGTTAACTACAACAAATCGGCTATCTTTGTCTCAGCTAATATTGATCGGAGGAGAGCTCGCCGCCTTTCTGCTCGGGCTGGGATTCCGCTCACGGTGGATTTAGGGCGCTACCTTGGGGTATTGGCAATTCACGGGCGAGTGACTAAGGCGAGGTATCGGGACCTGATGCTGAGAATTCAGAAGAAGCTCGCTCCATGGAAAGCCAGACACCTCTCTCTAGCGGCCCGGATTACAGTGGTGAAATCTATATCTGCCTCTATCCCCATTTATCCTATGCAAACAGAACTGCTTCTTGTGAATGTTTGCAGGTCTCTTGACCGGATTAATAGAGGCTTCATCTGGGGGGACACAGAAGCCAAGAAGGAAATTCACCTGGTTGGATGGCAGCAGCTGCTAGTTCCGAAATGCAATGGAGGCCTAGGCATTCGCTCAACGAGGGAAGTTAATCTTTCCATGCTTGCCAAAGACGGTTGGCGTGTCATTCAGGAGAAGGATAGCCTCTGGGTTCAAATTGTCCGGGCAAAATATGGTGGGAACCGGCAAAACCTTGAGATCCTCAAACAGAGTCAGGGAAGTTCCTTTACCTGGGCCAGTTTTACTAAGGCTTCTGCTTTATTAAAACAGGGATGTGCGTGGAACATTCATAGAGGTAACCAGACTAAATTTTGGTCCGATCCGTGGATTGTGCAGGTACCCCTTCAGGAGTTGGCTACATCACAAATCCCGGAAGAAGACCGGCAGCTCCCGGTGTCGGAATTCGTGGACGATGATGGGAACTGGAAGGTCGAGATGTTTAGCCATCTCCTCCCACAGGAGATCCAGCAGAAGATTACAGCCCACGCTGTCGACCCCTTGGCAACAGAAGAGGATAGATTGTTCTGGAGTCCAACTTCCGACAGCCGCTTCACCACTAAGAGTGCCTACCAGTTATTGCAACCTATTTTCTCCGATGATCAGCAGAAGTGGTGGAAGTCGGTTTGGCAGCTCCCGGTGCCTGAGCGGATACGTTGCTTCATTTGGCCGATTGCTCAGGGGAAGGTGTGCTCGAATGATATCAGAGTTCAAAGGCATATGACCCAGGATGGTTCTTGCTATAGATGTGCGAACCAGGTAGAGAACATTGATCACATCTTTCGGCTTTGCCCGCCTGCGGCTTACCTCTGGCATAGATGTGTTCCCATGGATGCTCAGCAGGAATTCTTTAGCTCCCCTTGGGAGGGATGGTTGCACAAGAACCTTACAAGCAAGACCATGACTGCTACCGGGGTTCCTTGGGATGCCTTCTTTAGTGTTGCTCTTTGGTGCTTATGGAAGAATAGAAATGAAGGAGCTTTTAAGGGCACCTCCAAAACGTTGTCGGCCCCATCGCTCATGCAAAGTATCAAGATCAAAGCGGAGTTATGGTACAGGGCGTGGAATGCGCCTTCTCCCATCAGCGGCAGAGTGAACCAGCCCCCGAACCGAGCCATGAGGGATATTGGGTGGAAGTCCCCACCTGTTGGGTGGACGAAGATCAATGTCGACGGGGCAGCTAGTGGCTCGCAAGGGCTGGCCGGAGCAGGTGGAGTTGCTCGCTCGTCTGAGGGCACCTGGGCGGGCGGTTTTGTCTCAAGCCTCGGAGATTGTTCGGCAACGGCGGCTGAACTCTGGGCTATCTACCATGGTTTGAAGTTGGGTTGGAAGCTTGGTTATAGAACTCTCATCATCGAATCGGACTCGCAAATGGCCATCCAACTTGTGAAGAACAGGAGTGATCCTCTGCACCCGTACGCAGCGTTACTCTCGGCTATCAGGAGGAAGCTTTCACTAGACTGGGTGGTGAATCTGGTTCATACATACCGGGAAGGGAATAGAGTCGCGGACTGGCTCTCGAAGCACAGTCTCGTCTATCCCTACGATATGTACGAACTAGAGGATCCCCCACAAGAGTTGCTTGCCATTTTACAGGACGACCAAAGAGGGGTCACTTTTCCTAGGAATGTCGTGATCGACACCACTGTTCTCCCCATCTGATTCTTCTTCGCTGTACCCCTTTGTTTTCTGCTTCTTTGGCCGTGTGCCTCCTACTGATGCAAAAAAAAAAAAAATGTATTGTAGTTTACATTGTTTGGTTTCTATGATAGTTATCGTAGTGTTTAAATAAGTTATGTTACTTTTTGGGTGAAATATTTTACTCTTTGTTTTTAGTATAAAAAAGCAACACACATAAAAGAGTAGTTACATAATTGGAAGTAGCTGGCGACGCCGGTAACACAAAGGGTCCAAACCCATAAGCGGCCGCTGGCCAGACCAATCATTCTGGATTTCGAAGGGCAAAGAGCGCTGTCGGTGGTGGAGAGGTAAATGATGTTGGCGCCGGAGAGGAGTCCCAGCGAATTGTTTGACGGCGCTGGTTGGTGTGCGTGAAACGCGCTGCCATCAAAATTCCTGGAAAAGAAGAGTACAAGGAAGATTGGGAATTTGTTTGTGAGAAAGGAAAGTTGCGGTGATAGGAATTCATTTGGAAAGTGCTTATTAATTAACTAATAATTACATAGGTGTACATGTGGCAGACTCTGATTCGCCGGGAGTACCACATCACCCATCCTACGGGGTACTCCCGGTGAACCTAATAATTTCTCGTGGGAGTGGATATGATTTTGATATTCGAAAACCAGCATTAAAATGGGGTGAATTGCAAATTTGGTCACCCATATTATCTATTTGTAACAGGTTAGCCACTCGAATCACTTTCGCTTCAATTTAGCCACTGATATGACACACTTATATCATCTTTGGTCACACGCCGTCTAGTTTCGTTAAATCTGTCATATGTGGCAGTCAACAATTAAGTTTGACTGCTAAAATGATGACGTGGCAACAACCTGACTCACACATAGACACCACATTTGCAGCCATGTCATAATTTAATTCAAAATTAAAAAATTCAAAAATTAAAAAAGAAAATTTGGAAAAATTAAAATCAAACCCTCCTCTCGGAAACACGACGCCATTAACCCCAAAACAGATCCTTCGCCGAGCGTTGCGCCGGACTCGACCTAAGTAGTTTCGGGTTCAACATCGATGCTAACCAACCGGAGATTGAACAAATCGAGGAGGACGAATGGGGAGGCTAAGACGTAGGAGAGGCTGTCAAAATCGTGGCCGCCGCCCCGAATTCAGAGTTGGAGAAGAGACAGACGACAATGACGACGCAACGAACTTGACGCCGACGACAAGAGGCAGACGACGATGGTCTCAACCGGAAGAGGCTTTATTGTCGTCCCGACATCCGAAGTCTGCTCTTTAGCTAAATTCGAAGCATTTTGTTACCATGCTTGGTTCCGCCAACCGGACACTATTTCACAAATCAATTCGACATAAAATTTACAATTGGTTACTAAAATGTGAAATCAAAACTTTGGGTGATTCGATGGATAGCAAGAATCATACGACAAAGGAGAAGAAAACAGAGGAGGTGACTGAGTTTGGACCGGACAGCTTTGATGGTGGCAATTGAAACAGAGATCGTGGGCGTTCAGATCTGGCACGAGATGGATGAAAGGGAGATGGTCGGAGTTCTGTTTATGCTTCTTCTCCTCTTCTCACTTCCCCACCTCCTCGCAATCAACGGCCCCGCCTGGGAGAAACAGGTCTGCTACGAGAACTGCTCGCAACTAGTAACGGCAGTCGGCGGCAGTGGGTCTTCTAGGAACAGGGGAGAAAAGCAGGGGAGTTGGGGGCGTGTCTTCTAGTAATGGCAACAGCGAGTAGCACAAGAAAAAGTGAGGGGCGGAGTTAGAGCGGAGATTTTTCTTCTCTTTTTTGTTGTCATTTTTCTTATATATCACAAAATAATAATTTTTTTATTGCCACATCACCATTTCCGTAGTCAAACTTAACTGTTGACTGCCACATAGAACAGATTTAACGGAATTGGACGGCGAGTGACCAAAGATGACATAAACGTTTAGTATTAATGGCTAAATTGAAGCGAAAATGATTCGGGTGGCTAACCTGTTATAAATAGATAATATGGGTGACCAAACTTGCAATTCACCCATTAAAATGGTTTAGAAAATTCGTCCCAAACCAACCAGTAGGGGTGGGCATTGGGTGGGTCGGGTGAATTTTGACCATAAAATGCACCCACCCACGCTTAAACGGATTGATAATTTTTAACCCACCACCCACCCACATTTAGTCTCGGGTTGGGTCGGGCGGATGGTGGATGATGCGGGTGGGTTTGTGGGTTCACCCACATCACAATGTATATAATATAAAGGAGTCAACTTGACATGATAATAGGTGAAGAGAATCATCAAGGTAAACAAGAAGTTGAAATAGGGCGAAAAAATGTCGAATTAGTTCTGAAATTGGATAGAAATTCTATTATGAAATAGTTTTCTACAGATTGAGACGATTATTAGGTGCAAGGAACTAAGGAAAATAATTCCACAAAGGAAAGAGCGGTGATCTAGGCACAAGAATTAGAGGAAAAAGTAAAGGGAAGAAGAGGAGATCTCTATTTGGAAGGTTGGCTTTGAGGTTCAAACTCCAGAAGGAGCCCGAGTTTATATCTAACGTCTCCACTCTCCTCTCTCCAGCGCCAACGACTTTGATCTTTTTGCTGTTGGGTTGAGCGGGTCACCCGCACACTCACCCACAACCCACCCACCACCCGACGGATGGCTCCCAGCGCAACCCGTCACCCACCCATAGACCCACCCACTTAACGAAATTCGGGTCAAATGCGGGTGGGTCAGTCCAAACCCGCGGATGAACCGCCCGCATGCCCAGCCCTACCAACCAGCCCTATTACTATCCTTAACAAATAAAGAAAATGTACCAATATAGCTTGAACACGTGGCTAGCAGCAGGAGTTCCCCGTAACCAGAAGTCCAGAACCGCTGCCCCATTTTGTCCTATTATTAATATTCTTTTGTCGTTTGGCTGACATTCAAAAAATATTTTTTTTCCCCAATCAAAACAATATTTTTCGAATGATTTTGAAAAGACACACTATGGCAGTGGGGTAGACTCATAACTCATTTATGCAACACTTCCTTCATTCTCCCCTTGCTCCTTCCCGCTTCAGCAGCTTCTTCTTCCTTCCTCCTCCCTTCTCTCTAGCCATCGTCGAAAGCTCGCCGGCGCCGTTTTTCGTCGCAACCATCTAGGAAATCGCTAGGTTCTCACCTCGCCTCTCACCGATAGCCTTCTCGCTCCCCCCGTCGAGGCTTCTCACATTTTGCCTCGCCGTTCGGGTAAGCATGTTTCCCAAGCTCATTTCCTGTTGCTCATGGATATCGCTTTGCTCTGTATTTTTTTTTTGTTTCATTTTCCATCTACTTTTTTGGCGGTTACGGCGGCGGCTTCTGCTGCTCATGGTTTTCGTTTTCCTAGTGCTTTGGCGTTGGCCGTTGAGTAACTCGTGTAGTTCGCTAGGGTTTCTGCTTCGCTACAAGTGGTAACCGCTCGAGGATTTTTACTTTGCTTTTTGCTTACAGATGATTGCGAGAATGATCGGGGGAGAAAACAGCGAAAACGAAATAGAATCGGAGACAGATGGAGAACAGGAAGAACCGGAGGAGGTATACCATTGTCAAGACGCGGAGTTCAGCGATTTTGAGAAGGACAAAGCTGAACACTGCTTTGGTGTGAATCAAACTTGGGCTCTATACGCGAACCAGGATTGTATGCCGAGATTCTATGCTCGCGTCACGAAACTGCTTTCTCCGGGGTTCAAGCTCGAGATAACATGGCTTGAGCCTTGTCCAAATAAGAAAGCGGAGCAAGATTGGGTTGATGGAGATTTGCCTATCTCGTGTGGTAGATTCGAGTTGGGGGACACTGAAGAAGTCGTGGATGCTCAGATATTTTCGCATCAAGTGGATTGTAGAAGGGGAAAGTGCAAGGGCACTTATGTAGTCTACCCAAAGAAAGGGGAGACTTGGGCTCTGTTCAGGGATTGGGATATGAAATGGGGATGTGAACCAGAAAGACATAGGCCACCATACAAGTATGTTCTCGTTGCAATCGTATCGGATTTTAGGGAAGGAGTTGGTGTTAAGGTTGCTTGTCTGAGGAAAGTGAAAGGTTTTGTTTCCATCTTTCATCAATTGGGTGATAGTAAGGTTAATAGCTCATTTTGCATACCTTCAGATGAAATGTACAGATTTTCGCATCAGATTCCTTCCTGCAGAATGACTGGGCTGGAAAGACATGGTGTTCCTGTCGGGTCTTTTGATCTTGATCCTGCTTCACTACCTAGATGCATTTTCGAGGTTGATGGACAGGAAGAAGAGAAGGTTCTGGGTTATAAACCGGAACCTGCGAGGGCATCTGGGGATCTCTTTCGGCCAAGCAAGAGTGAGAGTGAGACTGAAAAGCGGAGGATTGTATGTGGATTGGCAGCAGTAGTACCATTTATCAATGGATCGAGTTCATCATTCCAGATGAGGCAAAACATTGGTTCTCGTAAGAAACGTTGCAGTACTACATTCAGGGATGAGATTGAGCCAAGTAGAGCACCACCCAGGGATATGAGCAAGAGAAGTGCTAAGGTAGCTGCAGGCACGGGTGTTGACATTGAGATTGCTGAGAAGCTTATGACTGCTAGTGAAGGAGAGAACCAAGCCCAAACAAATAGTTCCTCGAGTGATTCTGTTAAGCCAAAGCATTTGTTTGCCACGATTGAAAGTTCCGCTGGTCACATAGCATTTGCAGGCATGGGTGTTGACATTAAGATTTCTGAGAAGCTTATGGCTGCTAGTAAAGATGTGAACCAAGCCCAAACAAGTAGTTCCTCGAGTGATTCTGGTAAGCCAAATCATTTGCATGCCACGATTGAAAGTTCTGCTGGTCACACAGCATCTGAAATTTCTCCAAAGCGAAAAGTCATCCATGAGGAGGAAATTAATTCTAAGAAACAAAGATCTGATGATGAAGTTCACTTGGGTCATGATAATCGTGTTAGTAATCAGATGTGGGGTCTTAAAGAGGAGCTGCGTTTTAAGGAGGCAGAGTTAGCTATGCTGGGTGAAAGAATTAAGGATTATAAGACGGAGCTAGAAAGAACCCAACTCTCCCTTCAGGGAAGACAAGTAGAGCTTGCTGAAAAAGAACGTTGTCTGCATTCCGTTGAGGAGTTGATTACAGAAACCAACCTAAAACTTGAGGACAGAGAGAATCAGTACAAGGCAGTAAGAAGGTCTGTTGCTCAGATTTCGGTGGAGCTCCGCTCTAATGAGAAGCATCTTGAGTCCCTTGAGCGGTCTATTCGTGATTCCATGGCAAAAGAGAAGGCACTCTATTATGTCAATGATGAAATGAAGGAGTGCTGTCAAATTCTTACCTTCAAAGAGAGGGAATTGAAAGATATACGAAAGACCATTGAAGCTAAAAACAAAGTTCTTGATGTGAAATGGAAGCTACTAAAGGAAATCAAATCGAAGATTGCACTTACCACTGAAGAGCTCAAATCAAAGGAAGAACATTTGAAACATGTCGAAGATTCAACGGTAAAGCTGGAGCGGAAACTGAAACAATATCAAGCGTTTGGAACAGATCTAGTAAGTGAAGGATGGTGTCATTTTTCAGCGCTTCGTATCTTTCTGGGTACTAACCATATTGTATGTGAAGCTTTTGGATGCAGGTAATGCTAGAGATCTGCAGTTGCTCCTGGGTGAGCATATACGGAAGAATGATATACTCCAAAGTAAAATATCTTCTGTGATTCAAAACTCAATTGAGCCTGCAAAGTTGGTATTACAAGCAATGAATGGCTTCCATCCTCCGGCTTCGCAGAACAGAGATGTGGACTATGATTTATCTGTCACAAGGAGAAGCTGCATTACTCTGCTGGAACACTTGCTGGAAATCAGACCATGGATTACAGATGATGTGAGAGGAGAGGCAATGAAGCTAGCTAAGGAATGGAAGGCAAGAATGATGATGAAGCCAGCAACTTCACTGGAGATCCTGGGCCTGTTGCAGCTCATATCTGCTTTCGGTTTGGCCTCTGATTTTGGTGTTGGCGAAGTTAGACAGCTTGTAAGTAGTGGCCGTCCTCAACAAGGGAACGGAAGTGAAACATGGCGATCTCTTGGGATTATGGATGACTTAGCTGGTGCGTGTTGATCGTCTCATGCTTTACCTCTCGATGCTTCTTTTGGAACAATTTGGCAGAGTGATCAAATTTTCTCCCCCTTTTTTTTCTCTCTTTCTCCCATTGATTCTAAATCCTATTCTAGATCAGTTGCTGCAGGCGCATTCATAGTGGAGTGATTTTGGAGATGGTAACAACCACACTGCCCCAACTTGAGTTTCGAGCTATGATAAGAGAAAGTACACAGGTACATTTATTCTTCCTCACTCTCAACCTGCAACTGCAAAACTGCTTATCCCTTCTTCCAGCTTTACTATTAGGGAGCTTCGTTTACAGGGCAAAGGGGCTCTCTGTGCCTTTTGTGGATTGGAAATTCTCTCAATTCTCGAATCCATTGCCTTCATCTTTTCTTGCAGGAGAGACGGATTTACCTCAGGAGTCTATATTCTAGCTAAGTTTTAAGTAACTATAGAAATGCGAACCTCTGTCAATTCAAATTTGAAAATTTGGAAGACTTGAAAAAGAAGATTGAAAAAACTGCGTTAACAAATTCGCTACCAGATACTGGAGTTATGGAGGGAATGACTTAAACAGATAGAATTTATAATTGATGTGGACAGAGGTTTCCTTCGAGGGCAAGGCTTTAGAGTACACCTCCTAAAGTGGATGGCTCTCATGAACTATTGTATATTTCAACCTGACACATGCTAGACCTTGAGCAAGCAAGCCTGGCCTGCCCAAGGTGGCGGTACCGACTTGCTAGGTCAGCTGAGAACCTTAAGCGCTAGTGCAATTGATAAACTGTCTTGAACTGTTTTGCTTGTAATTTACAAGCAAGAGTAAGATATAGAGTGTCGGAAATATGTTCTTTTTTATTATTTTGGTGATTGATACTAATATCGTAATTACAAATACATAGGCGAGAAAACCTAATACATAACCCTAACGACAGCGAAGTACTGCCACAACCCTACCCAACTTGGCACCCTAGCATGGCCTCTAACTAGATTCTAGCAATCCCTATTGGCAATTGCACTAGTAACCCACTCCTCAAGTTAATACCACTAGTCTTAAATCTAGAGGTCTTTCGAATCCCTAAAATAGTATCTAATCACAAAAAAGTAACATATATCACTCTTGTAAAAAAAAAAGTAGTTAACCTAAACTCCTGAATTTTGAGAGTGCTATACATGTCTAGAGTATAGCTTGGGTGTGGCAGGGTGTCCCTCAAGCCTCATGCTCGAGCTGTAGCACGATAGATATGTGCACCTTGTCTTCCGGTCTCTATTAAACTAGTTTTTAGGTTGGTAAAAATAAATTAGATTGTTTGAAAATCGTGCATCAAATTGGACTGCACAATTTGGTCCAGATCATAGACATTTAAGAATGGTCTGGTTTGATCCATGGTCTGTACTATATGATATTTTTTGATCTCTTAGTCAGGTCTGGCCTAGACCACAATTTACTGGACCAAAGCTAAGACCCATCCGACCACTCTGCCAACTCCCCCCAATGAGACCCAAGTCTCAACCCTAATTTTGAGAATCTTGTCCCCTCCTTCATTCACAACCACATTTCACCAAAGAGTGAAGACAATCATGTCTCCATATGACATGTTAATGTGTATGACGTTATGTTGAAAGTTGGGATGCTTTGACTTTGCATCTTTGTTATTTACTGAGATTGAGAGTGTCAAAATTATTCATGCATGTCGAAATTTATGTTATAAGGAAAAAAAATAAGTGTTATTAAGACAGTCGAACTGATTGGACCGCTAAAAATGCTACCCGATCGCAAAATCGGCTCGTATTAGTCATTTATGTGGAACAACTTTCTGGAGCGGTCGGCGAGCGATCGAGGCGGTTAACCTCCCGAACCGATTGCTCGGTTTTCCCCTTCCAACCATTCTATTTAATAAAAAAATTTGAAAAAAAAATCAAAAACTGAAAATGAAAGGCAAAGTGAAGAGACTCTGATCCGGTGACGACTCTGAAAGTTCAGGTGCTCTGTTGGCGATCTACATTGCCAGCGAAGAAGAAGAAGAAGAAGAAGAGCTCTGGTCAACATGAAGAGACACATGAAGGTGATTCCAAAATTTTAGTATGAAAGATTTATATATATATATATAAATGTAAAATTATTAGGGTAATGCCAAACCTATCCAAATACTAAGAATTAACAATTGTTTTAATAATATTGACTTGTCAACATGATACGACTAGGAAGAGACACATGAATGTTAACATTCCAAAAATTTAGTATTTTAACTAAGAAAAGAGTTATAAAATTATTAACGATAACGTAAAAATGCCAAATATTTTGATGCATTATGAAAGATTTGCCTAACTAATAGTATTTTAATAGGTTTGGATAATATTAAAGAATCTGAAAAAGTTTTGGATAAAAATTAGTCATTATCCAAATACTATGTAGTATTTGCAAAGTAAATTTTATTTTAGTCATTAAATTGTTAAATTATTACTCTGTGTCTTTTACTTATGATATTATTTTTATAAGGTACCAGTTCTTTAACGGTATTTGAACGGTCTAATACCAGTTGGACCACTAAAGTGCGAACCGTTCATATTACCGGGTCATGCTCTGGTTCAGTCTTACAACATTGAAAAAGAAAAACTTTTTTCACGTTTCAACTTTTCGTTCAGTTGACTAAATACATTGTTAATTTTTTGTTCAATGTGGTCTATCTTACCTGACCTTACCGGACCACTCTGCATAAGCGTGATATGATATGTACTGTATAATGTGTGACATGGTCTCTGCTCTATACTCTAACCGGTCGGTCTGGACCGTATATCGTATATATGGTCCGATCTATTTGAGGCTGTATCACTGCAATAACTGAACAGACACTCTAGCCATGTATCACCAAGCTCAAGATAAGTGGGAATAAATCAATTTGGCTTAAGCATGGAGGAGACTAAACTAGTTGATCTTGGTGATACATGGCTTGAGTTACCGTTCGGTTATTGCAATGATACAACCTCAAAAAACCAAACTAGCGTTGAGGAAAGCTAGATCGGGATTCCGTAAATTTCATTAGTTGGTGTCCGAGAATGGTCACTATCTAGAACCCAAAGTAAAGAAAGAACTAGTGTTATTAAATTGAGTCGAGCTGGTTGGTCCGACCGGTAAAACCGACACCAGGTCACCAAACCGGCTCGGCACAGTCAAATAACCGTAGCGGCTGAAAATGATGGTTTTTGAGCGGCCGGAACGGTTAACCGTTTGAGTCGCTCGGATTGTCCGAGCGGTTTTTCCTCCTCAGCCAGGAAATAAATAAATAAATATCACAGTCTGAACCACCCTCTGCTTTGTCGAAGGATTCGTCGGATTTATGGTGGCCGCCGGAGAGCTCCTCCAGCCCTCCACATCCCAGATCTGCCGCTGCTGGGGTTGGTGGAAGAAAAGAAAAGGGAAAAAGAAGAATCATAGAAGAAAGGAAGAAAATAAGATTGGGACTTTGAATGAGAGATGGGTTGAGGCGGTGAGGGGTGGGTGGAAGAAGAGCTGCCGCTGATGGGTAGAAGGAAAGACGAATGAAGAAAAGAAAGAGGTTGAGAGATAGAAGGGAAGTGAGCGCCGCTGGGTGTGGGTGGGGTGGGTTTTTTTTTTTTTTTTTCATTTGTGTTTGGTGGTTGATATATATATGCAACGTAATATTACAAAGTGGGTAAATTTTATTTTAGTCATTATATTGTTAAATTATTACTTTAGGTGTCTTATATTTATAATTTTTTTGTTTATATATGGTACCGGTTCTCTAACGGTTTTTAAATGGTTCAATATCGGTTGGACCACTAAAGTGCGAGCTGCTTAGATTACCGGGTTATACTCCGGTTCGGTTTTGACAACATTGGAAAGAACGTCCTCGACGATGTCCAACTCATGAGGAAGTTGAACGAGAACAAGACTACTCAAGGAACCAACCAATTCACTAGCACCACCAAACTCCTGCCAACTCCCTTTATGTTAATCAGACATATATGTCCCTAGAGAAATCAGTAACTGTTTTCTGGTGAGGATGAAGTAAAAAGTTTGAGAATGAAGTAAAAATGGTAAACTATCCACTTATATTTCTTGATAGGGATTATTGATTTTGGGGATTTCATTGATTTTCAAGGGTTGATTTTTTAATATAGTTATGGGTGGAGGAGATACGAATTTGTGTCTAACTCTTGCTATTATCTTCAAAAATTTATCCTTTGAATTTCATAAAATAAAAAATGAATGAAAAGATATTTCACATATTATTATTTTAAAAATTAAAAATTTAAGAAAAACCTCAATTTATACCATCAATTCTACAAATAATTTTCAATTATTTTGAGAACAATAGTTCTTTCTCGATAAATTTGAAAATATAATAGTGTATACATTGAATTTTTGTACAAGCATTCGGGTCAAATGGGTTATTCGGGTTATTCGAGTTCGGTTCGATTTGGTTACGGGTTATTTGGGTTATGAATCATTCGGGTTATAGATGGGTCGGGTTATGGGTTGGATCGGATAACGAGTTCATCGAGTTATGGGTTGATCACATTACGGGTCAATTGGTTTCGGGTTACGGGCGGGCTTCGGGTGGTTGATTTTTTGTCAAATCGGGTTACAGACGGGTGGTGTGTCGGGTGGGTTGGGCGGGTAAGTCGGGTCGGGTTCAATTTTGACAGCTCTAATATGAATAATGTCGATGCTCGCTACCATAGATCAGTCCCCAATGCCATGGACAATCATATGGCTCAAGAGGCCCACACCTAATGATTATTTCTCCTCACTTTCCTGCTTTTTATTAGTTGGTTGATGGCATGAAGGGAAATCACGCATTAGCTAACTATTGTTCCTCTCACATGTGGTGAAAGCTTGGTTAGGAATGCAATAGCCTTCCTGAACAACAACATTTATTACTTGTTTACTTCGTTGAATCCTTGCCTTACTTTTGTTTTTCTTAGTAGATTTCTCCATAAGCATTTAGTTTTCAGTAATTACCTTCAAAAGACCTCGTGGAATAATACCCTAAGATACCTAGGTTTATTATTACATCAACGTTCCGGTCGTCCACTTGCTGAAGTGGTAGACCATTTGTTGGAAGAGGTCGACCGGTTGCCTGAAGTGGTCTACCGATTGTCAGAAATGGTTGGCCATTTTCTCCAAGACAATGTGACTTGTAAGGCACCAAAAGTGGTCTACAATATATTTGAACGATATGAGGAACACTTATGGAACTCATATGGTAATCATGTAGCATCCTCCTCTCCTGGACAATAGCTCTACAACTCGAAGAATTCTTTTATGATCAAATCAATTTCATTAAACTCAAGAAGCCTCCATTCCAAAAAAGAAAAAAGCACCAAAGTGTACATCTCGAACGAGAGACATAAAAGAAATACTACGAACGGTAGGGGTCATTTGGTCTTGGTAACACTTTAGTTGAAATAGTTACAATACATCAAATTTTTTTAATTTATGCACAAACAATACAAGCATTATTATCTTGATGTGATAGAAACAATATCTCGGAATGAGTGATTGTTTAATCTTATGTTTTATGTGAGATTGTAGAGATAGTTTAAGTGAAATTGTTGAGTTTCTTTATTTTAAATTATATCTCTAATATGTTTATGTCATGTTTTATTTACAAACAATACAATCATTTTTATATTTCTCTCCCCTCCTTTTCTCTGTGATTTCTTCCACGCTTGCGATGGTGGCCTCATCGTCGGAATAGATTTTGAAGACGGGCACGGGTTCTAATTTCGGTAGTAGCTGGGCTCAGGTTCTCGGAGAATCAAATTAAATATAGACCCCTTGAGCGTATCAATGAAGGGTTCAGGTTGCCGAGAGAAGTGAAGAACGCTGTCGAGAGTGCTTGATTGGGCAATTCATCGAGTTTAAGCCA